TGGATGATCCTCAATTTTGGATATGTTATAGACAACATAATTTCAAGCAAATTTTGTGAAGCAAGCGCAATCATACGAGTATCATAAGTTAAAGACACATGCAGAAGAAAAATCTGCAAAAACTCACCAGCCATGGATGAATTCAGAAGTTGCAAACCAGCTTTGAGGTATCAGAAAAATTCAAAAAATTCTGCAAATTTTACTGGCTATAGTACTCGAGCAGATGAACAACTTTGATCAAGGAAGTTTTCTGATCCGAGCTTCCGAAATATGACTTATGTACTGATGCACAATACCCACGGGTTTGGGTCCTGAAGAAGAAGAAAGAAGAGAATGAGAGAAAATCATAAAATAAAGCATGCCATGCCAAATGAAAGGAAAAGAGGGTAGACACTTGCAAATAATAAAAAATTCAAAGGGAAGGGGCAACAAAATTTTGCCCATCTGAAGGCCAAGCCAGCAAGGAGACAACGTGCCCAGCTCTCTTATGCTCTCTCAAACTCGTATCTCTTCTTCCACCCATCAATACAAGCATTTGTGAATCAATCCACGCAAACCATGCAACTCAAGCATTTCACTTAGATGCAATCATTTCAAGCAAACCAAACCAAATATCACAATATCAAGCTTTTCAAGCAATACAGTCATCATAAAAATGGCAATGTTAGAACTTGGCAGTTCTAGTTGCTGGAAGCACATAGAAGAAGTCATGCTATCATTGTCCTCATTGCAACAAAGGGGTATCGTTTTTCCAAAACACCAATATTCATGCTACCGGAAGAGTGAACCCTCATGCCAGATCAAGCTATATCTTGATTCAACTCAACCATTAGATTATCCAAGTCCAAGCTAATCATGCCAAGCCAAGTCACATTTTTTCCAGCACCTATTCCATGCCAAACAAAACCGTTTCCAGCACCTATCCTATTCCAAATATCCTTCCAGCACTTGTTATATTCCAAATATCCTTCCAGCACATGCCCTATTTCAAGCATTCTTCCAATATTTAGCCATCATGTCACACGATATCACCTTCATTGAAGTTTTGTCCTCTAAATTCAAAGTGTTCGGAGGCTGGTGCTGTAAAGTCAAACACAATGGTGAATCCAAGCTTATTGCATCCGCAACTCTAAGATTGGATCCCCACTATCCACTAGCACGTCTGGCTACTGTCAAATGACATCCACCCTGCTGAATGTCCCAAAAGCCATATTAAACCATGCTACCTTAGCCAAAACCAAGCATCCAAGCATGCAAGCCAAAATCAAGCATACACGCCAATGCCAAGCATCAGGCCAAATACCAAGCATACATGCCGACATCAAGCATACATGCCAAAACCAAGTCAATGCAACTCTTGCAATCCACAATCATGTAAAATCAAGCCTCTCTACTCACTCAAGCAAATAAATCATGCAAGCTAAGTAGTTATCTTGAGCTAATCCACCAAGCATTTTCTTATATATCATGCCACCAAATAGGTCAACTTTTGGTAACTCCAGTAAGTGACCTCCAAAATTACAGTGTTTAGGAAAGTTCTTCAAGGCAACACCCTCGGTGTTTAAGAAAGATTGGGTTTTAAGCGGGACCATTGCGACCCCTCCAACCTTCCCGGAAAAGACCTGGCTGTAATTTCAGAGAAGCTTAACTGGTCATCCTTGAGTTGCTCCTAAACTCATGCCATGCCATGCCATTGCAATTTATTTTGGGCTGAAAATTGATTATTTGGACCATTTCAACACACATTCATGGCCCCAATAATCAAGGGGGCTAATGTTGAGGCCCAAAAAATTCACGCTTCGGCCCAAATAAATTATCGGCCCAATACGATACCTTATCAAGAAGAAACCCGATTTAGGCATGCGAAAGTTCGTCATATACGCTTTGCACACATGCCACGCCAAACGACACGCCACGCTAAGCAAGGAATTATCATTCCGCACCTAATCACGCCACAAGCCTAGGTGGGCCCAAGCCACTCAAAAAAC